TAGTTCATTGTGAGAAGAAATAAAACTTAGTATGAAAAGATAAACGATATAATAAATCAATTCACACAGTGTTACAATAAAAATGTGTCAAATTGAAAGTCGTTGATAATGCAGAAAGGCAAAGCGACACAGAAAGTTAACCTTATTCCAGAATTCCCACCGAAAGCTCTTACTTGCTGTTGCTCCACACCTATAAACTTATAACCAACTCAGGCCAATTGGGGTTAGGTAACGCAATAAGAGTCACTAATTGTAAATACTAAGAACACATCAACAAAATTAAGGAAGGAACTGAAAATTTTGGAGGGGTGAAATTTAATCTCACGCTGAACCACCAGAAGTAGCTGGGACTGAAGAGCATTCTGAACTGATTAGTATGAAGCCAAGTAGAATTATCTCAATCCTAGAATACAAACAGGGAGAAACTGATAATCAACCGTTTAGACATTAACATACCAACAATTGGGCAATTGAATTTGGTGTAATTAATGACGAAATAATAGGTAATTTCAGAGTTGAGCGAGGATGGAAGTAGGGGTGGGCGAGAATCGGGTACCCGCCCCATTCATCATTTGGCTGACCTGACCCACACCTTACAGGTCAGCCATTTTTTGACTCTTACCCGCATCGCATATCAACGGGTACCCTATAATCGGGTACCCGCTGAAATAGGGTCAGGTCAACTGGTACCCACCCCGTCCCATTTATCATTTAATTTTTAAAAAAGGATTTATACCAATTTAATTTTATATTTTACACATTCATCTAATATTTAATAAATTTTTTTCTAAAAAAAGGTTTCCCACCAAGAAACAAGCATGTGAAGAAAATATAAGATAAAGGAAAAAGAATTAAAAAATTCGAAATCAATAAAAGTTTGAAAAAAGTAGCACAATTTTTAATATATATGTTCCACATTAATTAAACTTTTTTCTATAAAATATAAGATCATGACCTCTATAAATGAATCTTGTAAATAAACTATAGTCTCTCATATTTGTAATGCAATTTATTCAATAAAATTACTTATTTAGTTCTTATTATTTTATAGTGTGTGTATAAAAATAAAAATAAAATAAAATAAATAAATAAATAAATAAATAAATAAATATATATATATATATATATATATATATATATATATATATATACGGGGCGGATCGGGTACCTGCAAGTTTTTAATTATGTGATCCTAACCCGCCCTGCATCTTAGCGGGTACCCGACCTTCTTTTGACCCAATCAAATAATAAAAATTGGATATCCTAATTTTCGGTTCGGATATGATGGATTTTTGGTTAGCGGATAATTTTGCCCATCCCTAGATGGAAGAGAAAACGATGAGACAAATCATTATAGATAAAGGCAAAAAGGGAAAACTTAACTCCTGAAATTGAAAGGGGATAAACTGACCAACGTTTGTGACTCATAAATGCAAATTATAAATGATAGATAAATGGTTCCTACCATTGATAGAGAAATCGTTGGCTCATTTCCTAAATCTGATTGCATTCAAATGTTTCAGACAAAGCAACATCTCAAATGGTTATCTGCGGCTGAAAAGGGAAATTATTGGTAATCAAGGGATATTTTGGTATTTACACCAACACACAAGCATATATGGGTTGTACAAAATGCAAAAATGGTTGCACACTAATTACACATTCCATCAATACTCATATGGCTCATTAATGATAACTTTAAATGTATTAAAATGGGGTCATTTCAGTAAACATACCCAAATACTTGTTTCCTTAACTTGTACCTAAAGCTTTTAAACTAATACACAACATTTCACATTCCCAGAAAACCCCCACCTATGCGGTTGAAATTTAACCTATCTTTGACCAAAACTCAATCTTATATAGTATAAGGAAATCTCAAGAGAGATTAGTGTAATTTTTGAAAGTTAAAGGGAGGCTAGTGAAATAATCAAAATCCTTAGTGGATGTTTCTGAAATTATTCATTTTTGCTTCAGTTATTAACTACTGTTTTGCTTAATGGAAGCAGAGAATATTGTGGAACAGTGAGGAATTAAGTTGAATTAAACACCTTTTCACCAATTAAAGAATCCAAGAAGAAATTGCAGCCATAAGTAGGTATAATCTGATGTTCTAGTCTGATTAATCAACCGTTGTCTTATCCCTTCTCTGATTTTAGGATTTGTTACTAAAATTCTTCATAGAAAATCTTGCAGTTTCTCTTCATGCAATAACGAGGAAATAGTACAAGACGATAGAGACAATTTATCCTTTTCTTTTAGTAATATAGAGACAATTGTTGAGGCTAAGGTGGAGGGCTGAATATACACAGATATTACATTAAGTCATTGATAAGAACATTGACACCATGTTTGGTTACACAATATTGAAGAGAAAGCATGTTTCTGGAAAATTGGTCTCTTTCAGCGGTTTGCATTAAATGTTAGCACTCCTGAGTCCATTGGTGTTTACGTATTCTCAATTATTGTCTAAGTATTAAAGTTGGAGATAAGCAGTACAAAATTCTCAAAAGTATGTTGTCAAAGCAATGAATCTGGTGTCAATTTTCTAAAATCAAGATTGTAAAGTATAATTGCCCGTGAGTACTTGCCAAAGAATGTGTGTTTTGAATAAACAAGTATTTCTAGACAAGGAAATGGTAATTAGTAACTGAAGATTAGTGGTATTAGATCGTAAGAAATCTGAATTAATACGCCAAGGTTTCTAGTTTATGCCTTATGGTAGGTATGGATTTGTGCTCAACTGCTTATGGAAAGTTACAAGCAAATTAATTCTGCTGAAATAAAAAAAAATAAATCGATTTTTGTGAGTTTGTTAGAAAAAATTGAAATCGCGTTTCTTTTTTTGGAATTTTATTTTCAAAAGAGACCCAAGTTTAATTTTTCAAACTTTTTTTTCAATTACAAAAAGAAGAAATTCTGGCTTATTATGAATTGCTGAAAACATATATGTCATCAATTCAATCGTCAGTTTTCTAAAATCAAGATTATAAAGTATAAATGATGTGAGTACTTGTCAAAAACATGTGTATTTTGAACGTAACAATTACTTTTAGACAAGGAAATGGTAATTACTAATTGAAGAGTTGGAATATAGTTTATGGTAGTTATGAACTTGTTCTCAACTACTTCAAGAACTTACAAGCAAGTTTAGTTGAAATAAAAAAAAAGTAGGTTGATTTTTGTGAATTTTTAGAAACTTTTGAGAACGTGTTTTAATAATCTTCTTGAAATAAAGTAGAAGTTATTTTCAGAAGCGACCCCGGCTTAATGTTCCAATTTCAAAAACAAGAAGATTCAATTTTAGGTTATGATGGATTGTCGAAAACAAGCCCAATAAAACCCTAACACACAATATGCTATTGAATTTTCTAATTCCCATTTTCAGAAGCAATACTATGTTATACTATTCGTCCTGCTTTACATTCGACCTCGAACATCAGTCAGTAATTTATGACTTAAATAAAGGAAAACTTGAATGCCCTTTAAGGAGGAGGAACACTTAATGATTATGTACTCCAATTAAAAATACATGCAGCACTCAAAGAGTACAGAAGCTCTCTAGGCTGAATATTTTTCATGGATTGGCTTTAAAGATTACTTTTCTCTGTATTTCGTATTGATTCGTTTCTCTCAGTCCTACGGAAAAGACACATGATTCCGGAACTTTTCTTTTTGGAAAAATCTACGCTTTCTTGAAGCCTTGAAGGTGAAGTTTTACAGATAATTTAAACAAATCCCTGTCGCTATACCCAGACTTGTTCGCTCATAAATTTCAATCCAATGCCTCAACCACACCGATGTAGGACACTATGATAATTAGATGCTCAGTGTCTATTCTTCCTTACCATTTTATGCGCACAAATGACAACACGATATATAGATTGATCGGTAGTCAAACTGTATCTATTCCCAAATTAGCAATAACAGCAAAGTTGGCTGCACCTGAAGCGAAGGTCATTGGTCATTGAAAAGAAAAAAATAATTGGAAGATGTAGTTAAAGGAAATGTTCTTGTCAGTCATGTGAAAAATTCCATTGCTACCACCAGACAATAGCTTTATTTAATGGTAACTTTTTACTTGAAACGAGATCGATTCTGAGTTCAGAAAAGTCTCCATCGATCCAATGTTAGATCGCTTTTCGGAAGAATTGTTTCAGAAGCCAATGTAGAATTGGAAACATACAGGAGCATAAATGGCATCATGGGCAATGAGATTGAGCTTGGTAAGGTCTGTTCATTTTGCCAAAGAAAGAAACGGATCGAGTTTCGCTGTCAAGAGTTTGTCATTGATAGCGTAGAACATTGTGGAACAGTGAGGAAGTAAGTTGAATTAAATGCCTTTCCACCGTTTAAAGAAAAAAGCAACATGAATGGTCAAGGTCTTTAGACGGTGCATGCCATTGGCACATTGCTTTCTTTTTCGAAAAAAAGTGGTGTAGGTTTAGATGTTACATTTTCAGGCAGATTCCTCATCAAAAAAAAAAAAAAAAAAAAAAAAGGGGAGAGAGAGAGAGCTTTAGGCTTTGGTGCTAAAGTTTTATTTGGAACCACCCCATCAATATTTTGATACATTAGGGAAAAAAAATGTTGGTTGTGTCACTTTAAATGTGTCTAAGTGGAAAAGAGAAACGTGAGAATGTAAAGGACCTTTTTGTTCAATTTTCTCAAACAAAGTCAAAATACTAGCGTACTTACATATAAACTCGAGATCAAAATCTTCCAATTATAACTCCATGGCATGTCTTTATAAATTCGGTGTGATCGATACGCCTGGTGAATCACGTGGCTAGTGATAATGTCACTATTCTAAGTAATTCCGTAGCAAATATTTTCTAAAAAAAATGACAAATTCATCTTTTTGAAAATGAATTCAATCCTTGGCAATTGGTGAATGGCATACTTGTCATTTTAACAGAAATTAGCTGAGTAGTCCAAATAGCTGCTGTGGAAGTATCGCCAATATATATATATAAGAATGCCAAGAACTCTTTAGAGCAAAGCCACATGAATGCTCATTGGAGAAGTACTCAAAGAAACATGTTCAAGGTTTTAGCTTCTTTGCTGCTGTTTCTGGTACTCTGCTGCAGAACAAGCTTGGAAGAATCGGGCAATCATTGTTATCGGGGAACGTGTAATGGGACGAGCGGTGCTGCTTCTTCTTTTCCTTCTCCATCCCGAGAGCCGCCACAGCTTCTCCAACGAGACGGTAAGATGTTCTTGGATTTTGTTAATTCGATAATGTTCTCTTTACATTTTCCTTTTAATAATATTACTTATCATGCATCTGTGAAGGATTGAAACTATACATTGTCAGAATTGTTTTTCCCCTATAATAATTAAGTGGATATTCTGTGTTGGAGAACATATTAACGTTGATTTTATGAAGGATTTGTCTAATCAATGCCCCGATGGGTAATTGTTCAAACCCAAAAAATGTAATAGTCAAGAGGAGCTTGAATTGTTAGTGATTTGGAAAAGTTATATTATTAGATCACATAAGGGTCTATATATATAGAAGAAGATAAGGATTCTATAAAAGAGTGTTTAAATGGTAAATCAATTCAAATAATTGGAAAATATATATATTTGACAAACATCCGTGTTCAATAACAGAGAAAAATTAGTTTGTTTTTGGGGAAGGAAAAAGTCAAAAGCAGGCCCAAAAATTGCGTGTAAAGCCTCGTAGTAGGCTAATCCTCTTTGTGTACTAAACATAACCACCAAATGTTGTATAAACAACTATTAATTGAATCAAGTAAACACATAGCAAGAAGGGTTCATTCCATTTTGGCCCCAAAATTTAAGTAACAACAAGTTTCAGTTAAGTCCTTCAAATTGAAAAAAAATCGCAGTTGGGCTGCAAACAAGAAACTTTGTTCACATTCCATTCAAGAAAATTTGGCTCAAATTTTTCATCAGCGTTAATTTCATTCAGTATCAAATGTCTAGTTGAGCATTTATGCCTGGCATTATAATCTTCATGAAGTCCATGGCTCACGAAGTTAAAAGTAATCTGTCACAAGCTGAGCGCATATTTATATCATTTAATCATGATTTTACCACATGTATTTGACAACGACAAAAATATGAGATACGTACAGCCTAGCTGTTAAAAATTTCTATAATTAGTGCCACCATTGCAGAAATATAGTAGGTGAAATTACTAACTGAAGTACTCTGCAATTTTTCCAACTACTTTTGGAGGGTAAAATAGAAATTCCATTTACTTTTAACGATCTATTAAAATTTTGCTGTAACTTTGGAGTGCCAAAATACGTTAGGCGCAAAAAGAATATACGGGATATAAAATTTGCATACTGTTTCAGTTCATATTCTCCCATACATTGTAAAAAATTCTTTGCCATATTTATTTTCTCAAATTAAGTAAACATAGATTTCAAGAGGATGACTACTTGAATAAAAATTATGTGACATCAGAAGTACTAGTTAGAAAAGTTCAAGGGCATTTTTAGATGCTTAGCTAAATTTTCCCTGAAATTATTGCACTAATGATCTACAGATGAAATTTAATTCATGCCAAACTACTTAATATTTACTCCTCTATGCTGCAAGTTTATTCCAAAGCTAATTCAATGAGTCAGTTTCTCAATACCTAGAGGGAGGACAGCCAGGGATATTATTTCCTTGTATTTTTTCTTCTCCGCATTGTTATTTAAGGTAAACAACCAATAATAACAACATCAATAATAATACAATAATTATATTATTATACGTGTTACAAATGGTTATAACAAGTTGCTTAGGGACTAATTGACAATAATTGAAAAAGGAATTGTTGGTTATTTTACACAAATGTAGACGTTGATTAAAACCCTTTAGAAGTCTAAATTCAATTGCAATTTAGCAAAAAATTAACACTAAAAAATTGCTATTCTTATAGTTTACTACTAAAATTAACCTTTAGTCCAAACACAGGGGAGCAAATAGTAGGCTTCTAAACCTTGTGGGAGTTAAAGATAGGACACATAAACCACAAAAGAATAGTGGTAAATTATCATAAAGAGAGCCTGTTTTCTACCAATAAATAAATAAAGAGAGCCTGTTTGAGATTGCGGTCACTTATCCTAAAACAATTTGTTTACTAATTATTATAGCTTTTGAAAAAGTGCCTAATGAATTCTTAATTTCTATTTTTGGGAACATATTTTCACAATTACCTTTTTCTACTAGGTAATGTATGATTTCGAATGTTTTTATTATACTACTATCTTTAACTACATTTAATTTTAATATAAAATAGTCAGACTTTACTTTTAATCTGTTAAAAAAAATTACAAAATCACTAACTTTGAGCTTGTGAAATTTGACACTGCAAGTAAAATTCTAAAACCATAATTACCAAGCAGCCTCAATGAACTTTGATCATCTGGAATTTTTTTCTTAATAAAAACACTATAATTTCAAATGGGCTCTATTATTACGTCAATTATTGATCTCAATTTGGTAATTGTCGTGAAATGTGTTTCTATGCTTAATCTATACTTCTTTTGCCAGTGGATGCTGTAAATGCTCTGCTTGAACTTGTGACGCCTCGGAACTTTTTGATTTCCATCACAGCAACCGATTGCCCTCCAACAAAGCATAGACCATTCATGAAATGCAATTGCGACAACAGTACGAATATATGTAGGGTGACTGCAATGTATGCTTTTTCTCACTAATTCCCTTTCATGCTTTCATATGTATATTTTTTTTTCCCTCAAACTGCAACTGTACCAGCATAGTACATACTCCTACAATAAGGGATGGAATAGGGCTCAACTGGATCAAATGATAATTAGATGGGGAGAACACCACATTCGAACCAGACAAGCATACTAATGCACCCACTCTACTTGATGACACATTGGGAAGCACAAGCATAAGCTTTCCTCGACACTAAGAGTGGAGAGAGTGTTGGGTAAAAAGCAAAGAATTGGCAAATATTGTGACAAGAGTTGGCTTCAAATCGTGATAGAAATCACTTTCCTTTAGGCTTTATTTGTCCGATATAAAGTGCAATAACCTTGGACAAATATCCTTTAGGATAAGATGAAGTTTTGTTTGTCTTAAACTCTTGCACAAAGCAAGACAAACCCTTTGTGAACTAAGGAGTGCTTTTGAGAGAGTAAGGATAGTAGGAAAGTGATTTTCTGCAGCAAAACCACTCTCTACTTGACCTCTTTATATAGGAAGATTGTTTGGGAAACAAAAGACCTCATTAAACACTTGTATGAATAGATTCAAAGTATTGTGTATGAATAGATTCAAAGTATTGTGTACACATTCATGCACTTTAATTCATGCATCTCATGATCATTAGATCAAAACATGAATCTATCCTTTAATTCAATAATTCCCATATACATGAATACATTCATAAATGAATGTACATTTTAGAATCATTCACAATACTATACATGTACCAAAAATTAATGAATATACATTAATTACATGTATGTACATCATACAAATTTTGAAAAGTTTCCAACAATCCCCCGCCATTTTCAAAATTAGAAAATGGATTTCTAAAAGGTCACCAAGTAATCTGACACTCATATGCATAAATAATGGTGTCTTTCGATTGAACCACTATCTTAGTGAAGGTTCTTTGAAATCAATCCTTCAAGATGGTAGACAAGCTTTGAACCACTTGGACATTGGACCAACCTCATAAACACATCACACACTGAGCAATGCACAACCATAAGTTCTTCAACAATACATTTTACGGCCTTGTATCACTATCCTTTCATGAATGTTTACAAAGTAAAGTCCTTAACTTTGTGGTTTGCCGAAAACCAACAATCATATAGGCGACATCTTAGTGCCCCCGCCATAGATAGCACTTTTAAGATTCGTTAAGAGTCCAATGACTCATCCTTACATTTGCACTGGCGAGAATAACATGCACTATTCAACATTGGGATGTCTAAACTTCACATAGTGCACCAACCACTAGAACGGTGTACTTTCACTCATTGAATTCAAGACTAGACGTCGTATCTAGCGTTGAATTGAGGTTCCACCATTAGTGATCAAGAATTTTGGACTTTAAACCCATCCCCCTTGATGTCTTTGACACCAAATTTCTTGATAATCCTTTTGTCAAAGGATCACTCAAATTTTCATTTGATCTCACAAAGTCAATTGATATGACTCCATTTGTAATCAAATCTTTGACATAACTATGTCTTAAACCGATATGTCTTGATTTACCATTATACACTTGACTATAAGCTTTAGCAAGTGTAGCTGCACTATCACAATGGATTGAGATAGGCGACAAAGGTGTTGGCCACAATGGTATATCACAAAGTAAATTACGTAGCCATTCAGCTTCTTTACAGGCCGAAGCAAGTGCTACAAACTCAGCTGCCATTGTTGAATCGGTGATACAAGTTTGTTTCTTAGAACCCCAAGAAATTGCACCTCCACCAAGCATAAAGATCCAACCACTTGTCGACGAGTGATCATCCTTATTGGTGATCCAACTAGCATCTGAAAATCCTTCTAAAACTGAAGGATAACCGGTATAACATATACCATAGTCCTTAGTGGCCTTTAAATACTTTAAAATTCTGGTTACACCTTGCCAATGTAACCTGCTAGGGTTGGTTGTATATCTGCTCAATATACCAACTGCATATGCAATATCAGGTCTCGTACAAGTCATTGCATACATTAAACACCCTACAACCTTGGCATATTCCATTTGAGATTTTGGATCCCCCTCATTTTTCACAAAATTTATTTTGGGATCCAATGGTGTTGAGGCTGGAATACAATCACTTTGATTGAATTTGTTAAGAATCTTTTCAATATAATGTGTTTGAGACAACATTATATTGTTATCATGTTTGAAGATTCTCATACCAAGAATGACATCTGCCTCACCCATGTCTTTCATGTCAAATTTGCTTGAAAGCAAAGTTTTTGTGACTTCAACTTGTTCCAAGTCAGTCCCAAAAATCAACATGTCATCAACATATAAACAAATTATGACACCTTTGCCATCATCAAACTTGCTATAAATACATTTATCAGATTCATTTATTTTGAACCCACTAGTAAGAATAACTTGGTCAAATTTCTGATACCATTGCTTCGGTGCTTGTTTTAGTCCATATAAAGACTTTACAAGTTTACACACCTTATGCCCTTGGCCAGGCATCACAAATCCTTCGGGTTGCTCCATATATACTTCTTCATCCAAATCACCATTCAAGAATGCTGTTTTAACATCCATTTGGTGAATGACTAGATTTTGGATCGAAGCTATAGCAAGTAGCACTCTAATTGTAGCAATTCTAGCTACCGGTGAATATGTGTCAAAATAGTCCACACCATACTTTTGTGTGAACCCTTTGGCAACCAACCTGGCCTTGAACTTATCAATAGTTCCGTCGATCTTCATTTTCTTCTTGAAGATCCACTTACAACCAATTGGTTTTGAACCAGGTGGTAAGTCTACTAATTTTCAGGTTTTATTACCCATGATTGAGTCCATCTCATCATTAATAGCTTCCTTCCAAAAGGGAGCATCTTGTGAGTTCATTGCTTCTTCATAGGTCTTGGGATCAGCCTCAATATTGAAGCAATATGAGCTCTGGTTGCTCACTGTATCTCTAGTTCCTTCAACTAGATACATATAAAAGTCCGAACCGAAGTCTTTTGACTTTCTAGCTCTTTTGCTCCTTCTCAATTCAATGGTTTCATTTTCACCATCTTTTGTCAATTCACTTGATTTTGGAATAACATCTTTTATAGAGGTGAACCTATTCTCTTCAAAAATAGCATCTCTAGACTCAATTATGGTATTAACCGAAATTGAATCATTAGGTTCAATTACCATGAACCTATATGCTTTGCTATTTTGTGCATATCCTAAGAATATACACTCCACACCTCTTTCTCCCAATTTCCTTTTTTGAGGTTCTGGGAGTTTTACAACAGCTCTACAACCCCAAACTTTCAAATAGTTTAGGTTGGGCTTCCTTTTATTCCAAAATTCATAAGGGGTTATAGAACTCCTTTTATTAGGAACTCTATTTAGGATATGACAAGCCGTTAACAAGGCTTCACCCCAAAATCCTTGACTTAAACCAGATTTTGACAAAAGTGCATTAACCATTTCTGTCAATACACGATTTTTCCTTTCGGCTACACCATTTTGTTGTGGTGTGTAAGGAGCAGTCATCTCATGTTTTATCCCAACAGACTCAAAATAGGTAATATCATAATATTCCCCACCTCTATCTGTTCTTAGACATTTGATAAAGGATTCACAATGAAGTTCAACTTCTGATTTGTATGCCTTAAATTTTTGCAAAGCTTCACCTTTTGAGTGTAACAAGAAAACATGACAGTATCTACTATAATCATCAATAAAAGTCACAAAGTACTTTTTACCACCCAAAGTAGGAGTACCATGCAAATCACATACATCACTATGAATAAGATCCAAGATTTTAGATGATCTTTCAACTTTAGGAAACGAATTTCTTGTGATTTTCGTTAGCATGCATGTATTGCATTTTCCTTCAATCTTATCACAATATGGCAGCAAATCAAGTCTCATCATTTCATGCAATCTTTTGTAATTAACATGACCAACCCTATTATGCCACAATTCAAAAGAAGACTCAACCAAATACGCAGAAATAATATCACTCTTATTATTTCTAATAGCAAGTACATTCAACTTAAACATCCCATTGCAAAGATAACTCTTGCCTACAAACATACCACCTTTAGACAAAATAAATTTGTCAGACTCAAACACAAGTTTAAAACCAAATTTATTTAACAACCCATCCGACACCAAGTTCTTCCTAACTTCCGGTACATAAAACACATTTGTCAAGGTTATAACATTTCCGGAAGTAAATTTTAATTCTACTTCTCCAATGCCTTGAACCGGAATTGTAGCAGAATTTTCCATGTAAACAACGGTGCTTTCATCCACCGGTTTCATGGACTTGAAGAACGTTCTATTGTTGCACACGTGTCGCGTAGCTCCAGAATCAACCCACCAAGCAAAATCATCTTCAATCATATTGATTTCAGATATCATTGCTACAAGATTTTTGCTTGTATTTTGGGAAGACTCTTGCTTCTTCTTCTTGTTTTGAAGAATCTTGCACTCGGACTTGTAGTGTCCCTCTTTCTTGCAATAGAAGCATTGTCCCTTCTTTCTTTTCTTGGATTGATTCTTGGGTTGTTGGCCCTTCTTGCTTCCTTGAGACTTTTCAGTTTGCCTCTCTTCAATCACATGCACTTTTGAAGTAGAATCTTTGTTCTCTTCAAGGATTTGACTATCCTTCTTTTCTTGCATGCGAATTTCCTCTTCTACTCGAAGAGATTTAGCAAGAATCTCAAGAGAGATATCCTCTTTCTTATGTTTGAGGTCTCTTTTGAAATCTTTCCAAGAAGGTGGTAGCTTATCTATTATAGAGCAAACAATAATGGCTTCATCCATGTGTAGATTGTGTTGTGTGAAGTGATTAAGAAACCTTTCAATCTCACTAAATTGCTCCATAACAGACTTATTATCTACCATTTTATAATTATTAAAAGACGAGACAAGAAATTTCTTACTTGTAGCATCTTCTTGCATGTACTTGGACTCCAATCGATCCCAAAGTTCCTTGGCGGTAGCAATTGAATGGTAGACATCGAACAGGTTGTCACTCATGGTATTGAGGATGTGACCACGGCATATTTCATCGTCGTTCTCCCATTTCTGACGGTTTCGGATGTCTTCAAGAGTTTCTTCATCGGGATTGATCAATGGTTTAGGTGTGGTCAAAATATAGACCACTTTGAGTGCAGTGAGAAGGAAACGAACACGTTTTTGCCAACGAATGAAATTCCCTCCATCAAACCTCTCGAGCTTGACAATATTGGATGCCAAATCTTTCAAGGTACCAGCCATTGTAGAGTACAGATAAAGCCTAAAGATTGTTGGGTAAAAAGCAAAGAATTGGCAAATATTGTGACAAGAGTTGGCTTCAAATCGTGATAGAAATCACTTTCCTTTAGGCTTTATTTGTCCGATATAAAATGCAATAACCTTGGACAAATATCCTTTAGGATAAGATGAAGTTTTGTTTGTCTTAAACTCTTGCACAAAGCAAGACAAACCCTTTGTGAACTAAGGAGTGCTTTTGAGAGAGTAAGGATAGTAGGAAAGTGATTTTCTGCAGCAAAACCACTCTCTACTTGACCTCTTTATATAGGAAGATTGTTTGGGAAACAAAAGACCTCATTAAACACTTGTATGAATAGATTCAAAGTATTGTGTATGAATAGATTCAAAGTATTGTGTACACATTCATGCACTTTAATTCATGCATCTCATGATCATTAGATCAAAACATGAATCTATCCTTTAATTCAATAATTCCCATATACATGAATACATTCATAAATGAATGTACATTTTAGAATCATTCACAATACTATACATGTACCAAAAATTAATGAATATACATTAATTACATGTATGTACATCATACAAATTTTGAAAAGTTTCCAACAGAGAGATCTAAGAGCCTCTTCTTGGCCGTTAGCCCAATGGTTTTTTTCACTCCTCAATGGCTAATTCATAGTTTTCCTTTGTCCTTCTCACATTCTTCCATGAGGCAGAGTATTCTCTCTATTGCTAATACATGTATTGCCTTGTACCATAAGTAGAAACTTAGATATTTCTTGAATATACCAAAAAGTTTAATTGCGAGAAGAAGAATACATATAAAATGAAAAGAATATAGGATATTTATCTTGGTCTGTTGGAATCAATGTCTATGACTGCATGAAAGAATATGGGTGAATTTAGTCTGTTTTCCCCTTTTCCATTCTAAAATTACCTCATCATATTCGTACTACTCTAGCTAATTGAAGTAGAATAATCCACGACATATACAAAGGCATTGAACAGTTTTATAGTACAATTAACACATGCAGCAAAGGAATCTTCAATCTTCTATAACCATAATGCTTAGAATAAAATAAGAGCATAAATTGAATACACAAAAGCTTATCTATTGGGTAAACCCTTCAGCATTTGGTCTTTTTGATCCTTCAAATTCTAATAAATGATGAATTGCAGTAATCTCAGTGGACATGCTTTAAGCGGTCAACTTCCTGCGGAAATTGGAAACCTTGATTATCTGGAAGAACTGTAAGCAAGTGAAAATTACTTCTTTCAGCATTATTTGTATGTTAATTATTATATACATTCCATTCAGTTACGAGCCCCCTAATACTTGGTACATGATAACTGCTATAGCTGTAATGAATTGTTGTAATTTTCCATGAACCCACATTATGTAGTAGGCATGTACTTGCATTTGTGTGGAGAGTAACTATTTAGCAAATGGTGAAGCATGTCTAGACCTTTTCGTTAATACTAAATAATGTGAACTTCTTGTAAGATAGTGAATTGTAGAGGTACTCGTCTGTCTAAATATTTGGCAATTTTAATTGTCACTTGCTTGATATATCATGTTTTTGGTCGGTGCAAAGTTTTTCTTCTTTATTTTCTTGAGAGACTTTATGTAAGAATGTTCAAATGACTCCAAAATTTTTTACACTCAATTTAATTTGCGCCCCTCAACTATTATTAATTTGTGATTTGCACCTTCAACTATCATAGTACCACCAATTTGTGGTACATTATTCAAATCAGTTTGAAAAATTTAAATTTTCTCTTACTTTTTAATAAAAAGACTTTGGTACCTCTAATATGCATTCGTTCATTCAATTTCTGTATTTATTGAGAAGCCATTAAACTTTTATTCAAAAATTGCTAATAAATTTCATTGGTTTCCAAACAATTTGAGTAATGTGCTATATATCAAATTATCAATAGTGTAAAGTACTTAAATGCTAAAATTGATAGTTTAGGATGTGAATTGCTAATCTGTGCTAGTTCAGGAGTGAAAATTGTATATAACCCTTTAAAAAAAAAAATTGAACATTGCTCAACACAGACATTAGTCACATTGATGCTGAGGTAAATATTTGTTTTTAGTTTTAGAGATGATCCAATGTTTGTCTTATTTTGAATTTTCAGACGCCTTGTCGGGAACTATATCAGCGGACCAATTCCTGAATCTTTTCAAAATTTATCGCGCATATCTGTTATGTAAGTTACAAATATTGTTTAAGATTTGGGGATGCACAATAGCACACATGTTTTAGTTTTAGAGATGACAAGCATGCCTTATTTTGATTTTTCAGAAACCTTTCTGATAACCATCTTACCGGATCAATTCCTAAGTCCTTCCGAAATTTGTCGCAGATGACTGAAATGTAAGTACCTCAATGATAAAGTTACTGCATTCAATCAAGGTTTTTTTTTTTTTTTGGGTTTAACTTCTCAGGCTATTTATCGGGATGCTTACAAGAAATGTACATCTTGTTATGTTCTGAATCAGTAATCTCAAACGTAACAACTTGGAAGGACCCATACCATATTTTCTTTCGGAGATGAAGTCCTTGAAAATCCTGTGAGTTAGCATTGCAGTAACACATTTAAAGAGCTTCTTAGAATTTTACATTGTTTTCATAAAACGAAACAAATTCTTGGAATCAGGATGAAGAAAAACAGATTTATATGCCTAAATGTATACAGAATTATGTCTGTGTATGTGTGTACACACACAGACACATACATATACAGGTAGGTATGTTTGTATGCAAGTGTGTATGTATGTATTTATGTATATATGCACGTACTTATGTATAGATATAAATCTGTGTGCTAATTTGTTTAGTTAGTCAACTTGGTAGTGCAGAAGGATAAGTGAGAATTGGTTTGATGGGTCAATTCCGCGTGAGTTTGGTACCTTTCCAGCCCTTAAATACTTGTGAGTATCCCGTTTTTACTCAATAACTAAGTTATTTTTTTTTAATGTTGTATTCATTTTTTCTTTGGTAAATGTACCACAATATTGATCTTGCATAATAGTTCCCATGTAATTTCTCTTGTTGTTTTCTAGGTATCTGGATGGTAACTTTTTATCTATGGGGATCCCTGATGAATTAGGAAATATATCAAGCCTTTTAGAACTGTATGACCTTGAGCTCTATTTTTCTATATTTATTATTTGGGATTGAATTATTGATGTGATTGGGTTTCCTAAAGTCTTTTTCTACTTTAAATTATTATAGGTCTTTGAATGAAAATGAACTTTCGGGTCAGCTTCCACAACAATTTGGAAACCTCACAAAACTCGAAGAGCTGTAAGATTAATATATGCTGTTTCACCGCATAATGTCCCATATTACATTATTTCAGCATATCCTCGACAAGTAACTAAACTAAAAATTGACATTGTAAAATCAGATTTTTTATTGTTGATTTTTTAACTTGTCAAAAAGTGTACGATTCAAACCCTAAATCTGACAGCGATAAAGACTCTAAAAACCCTCCCTTGATTACTAGATCAACCCTACTGTTGAGAGGATTAAGAAAAAAACGCGTCAAAGAGCATGTAGTGACGAGAGAATTCTTGCAAAAACACGCATTCCTGTACCTCTTGCTGTTACTCATTATTAGAAGAATTGTGCTAATTTTACTTCAGTGCTTGCCAAAAAATTTTACTTCTTATCAGTCCAAATTGGAGATACCATGGACAGGATTTCTTGGCCCTCAAAGTTTGGACAATGAGAATTTTGAGGTTCATTTTCGCCAAAATGGAAAAATATTAGGACCATATTTGTCTTTTATCTAAACTTTGGGGACTTCTCTATTAAAATGCCCGAACATTGAGGATCAAAGTTGCAATCCTTCCTTTATTTTAAAATGCAACTTTAAAGACTACATGTCCAACAATTTGGGAACCAAGGTTGTAGCACATCCTTGTGTTTATTTGACAGTCTATTAAATGTCCGATCTTAATTTCGAAAACTTTCCTTTTTCAGGTACCTAAGCAACAATTTGTTGAGTGGTAAATTGCCTCCAAGCTTGGACGCACTGGAAAACTTAGAAGCCTTGTAAGTTGATTCTTATGTGATATGCATGTCGATAGACCTAACCTGTAGATTCTAACATAAATCCAGTAACTTTTGTAGAAAGTATGCAGGTTTTACATGCAAGTAAAATTAGATGGATGAGGGGCTTCACAAGTTGATTTTTGTTCAATTTAATCCAGTTCATGTAATCTTTAATAAATTTAGTGTAAATTCATACAATTTTGGTGTAATTGCCAACCAAGTTATATGAATAACCAATTCCAGTTTACACCCAAATTATATGAATTTACACTAAAAATTGCAAGAATAATTATAAAACCGATTTAAACAGGACAGAACTCAAATCCCGAGAGCCCTCATCCATGTATATTAGACATTGTTTAGATTTTGGTTTAGGTCATGTACTTCCTCCGTGACCTCCGTCCCATTGAAAGTGTCATACTTTCTATTTTGGGATGTCCCAAAACATTGTCATATTAGAAAAGTCAAAACACCTTTTAGTCTCTCTTTTCAATATAATCCTTTTTTTTAATCATATCCATGTTACCATTCAAATTTAAATTTTAATTTTGTGGGAATAAAATTGAAAAAAAAAAGTACAAATATCACAATCAAATCACTATTTTTAAAAAGTCGAATTCTCCAAATATGACTAAATAAATGGAACGAAAGGAGTACTAATATTCGATAACGATTCACTTAAGAACCGTTTTATATAGTGGAACAGGAAGGCTACAGCTAAAAATGCCAGTATTGAAATCCATGCAGCTACAAATGTATCTATTTATTCATGCATTTGTACTTGATTCTCTCACATAAGACTAAAGTAGAATATCGTAAATATTTAATAGGAAGTAGAATACCATTTTACCACGAAGTTTTTTTTGGCTTTTTTTTTAGCACTGTTCAAGGAAATAGCTTCAGTGGAAGGATTCCGGACTTCATCTCAAAGTGGCGAAACCACCAATACTTGTAAGCCTATAACTTGGTTCGCGTGCAACAACTCAAAGGGATAAAATGCAGTTTTAATCCTCAAAGTTTAGAGATTAGACCAAATTGGTCTTTAATGTTTCAATCAAAACAAATGTAGTCCTTAAAATATTCAATTTGACTAAATTAATCTCTAATGTTTTACTTGAAAGAAATGTAGTTCCTGTAGTACATTAACGGGTCAAATTGATATTGTTTAATGAAATCTACAAAAATTTATTAATATGATATAAAATCACATAAGTAATTATATTGCTAGGATCTATGGTAAATTCAGTTAAAGAATGCAAGATCGGTGGTTTACCTGGCAGATGAAATGGAATAGAAAAATTACAATAAAATCGCAAAAATTTAAAATTCTAGAATATATAACAATAATTGTAAGGAATCCACTTTTAGTGAAATGAATATAAGTGATAGATATGTCAATACATAATTCGTACACAAAAGTAAGTGCATGTACAACTTTACTGCTAAACCTATTTTTACTAAAATAAAGCACACAAAATAAACAGATTGAGCACATGAACAATAGACACTTTATTCGGGGTTTAAATTGAATTTTGTATTATACATTGCACTTAGTTTTTGGAGCTTTCCAAGTCGCAAAATGTCTATAAAAATTACAGAAAATTCTATTAAGACACAAAATTAGATTAGGAATTATATTTTGTATATGTGCTCTTGTATATTTTTATTTTTGTATTTTCTTTATACATAACTTATAGAATTGGCATATTTACCTATTGTATCTTTATCATGTCAAAAGTGATTAACTTACATTTACATTTTATGGAGCTAATAAATTTTTGTGATTTTTCAATATTTTTTCTAAAAATTTTATAGCATTTCATGTATTTTTTTTATCAATAATATATTTTCTTAGGGTTCTAAGAAAATGTTAGGGACCAATTTTATAAATTAGTGTACCATAAGGACTAAATTTGTTTAGATTGATATATTGAAAACCAATTTGGTTTGAAATTGAATGCTTTGGAAACTACATTTGTTTTGGCTTGATATTGTGAAGACTAATTTGGTTCAAATGCTAAACTTTGAGGACTAAAAGTACACTTTTTCCCACAATTGAAATCTTCAACTTTTTTTTATTGTCACAGGGATCTACGCGGAAATAATTTTGAAGGGCCTATACCAAATGCAATCTCAAACTTGACAGAATTGCTTTACCTGTAAATGTTTACCGTACTCAACGTTTTCATTCATTTTTTAGTATTTAATCTAAAGGAAACACTAACATATGTTTGCTCCAACCTTATGGTTTTATATCATTTCATGGGTTTTTGTTCAGTTTCATAAATAACTTAGTTGGAGCAGATAAGCAACATTCGTTTCCTGAAATTGGAACTATGGTTTCGATGCGGCACTTGTAAGCTCTCTTCCTTGCGTTTTTCAACGACTTATGATTTCTCTTTTTAAGCTCTTTTGTGAAAATTCAATTCTTTTACAGGTCTTTGAGGAACTGCTCACTCGCTGGTCCAATTCCTGACTACATATGGCAGTTCAAATCCATGAAGTACCTGTAAGAGACTTTAAGATTGCAAACCTCAAACAATGAAATTTCATTTGGTCCTCTACTAAAGTAGAGGTTTAAACGAGCTGTCTCGATCACTAACAATACCCTGTTTGAGATCCAGACAAATGTGATGAGGTCAAACTCAAACTCGAGCTTGTTTAAAAATGATAATTAAGTGTTTTGTGGGCTAACTTTTTAGCTAAGTTTTTGTTGTTTAAGTCAAATTAAGTCTACGTGTTTTGATTAAGTAGACAAATATATTCACCTAGCACTCATTAATAGAATAGGTAAAACATGCGCATTAGCGGAAAAAAAAAAAGAGACATTTCAATAATCCTACATGAATATATAACAAAATTAATGTATATTTATAAATTCTCGAGCATTCTTGAGTTTGCCTGGTTAATTTTACGAGCCCTCAAGCTCAAATCAAGTTTGAACAAATTCTTGACAAAACTGCTCACGAGCATTAAAGCACCCAAAGTTTCAATTAAGCCCGTCAAATGGACAAGTGTTGATTTGTACCAAGCAATGCAAAAATTGTTTGCAAAACGTGACAGACACTTCAGAGATAGCAAGACATTGGTAGTGGGTTAAAGAGTTAATCAACCACCTTTTTTTTTTAAGTCTAGTAAGAAAGCTCGCCAGAGTAATGTAGGATTAAATTTCTAGATGCATTGAGAGTGAGTCATTGCTCTCTTAATTGCAGTAGTAACAACCACAGGTCCGACTAGAATTACTCTGCTTCCATATTTTGATTAGTTCGTGTTTTAATTTTATAGGGACTTGAGTTTCAACAGTTTGGTTGGAGGAATTCCACCTGTGATGAATGTTTCCTTACAAGCCATGTAAGCATTTCTTTTTCCTTTTTATTTATATTTATTAATTTACATTTTTTAAGTTTTTTTTTTTTTTTTGAAGAATCACCATTTTTAACGCTTTCACTCCCTCGTTCCCTCCTTAATTACAGTTTCCTATCCGCATATCTTTCTTGCAAATACATAATACTTATTATTGTTAATGTGTTCAACCTAAATGCTTCTTTTATTGTGACCTAAATTATTCTGTTTCGTAGCATGAATAATTTATTCGATCAACTAATCTCTAATATGCAATTGTCAATGCATGGGTTACCATTATAATTATTTAGTTCGCATTTAGGTGGTTATGGTATTAATTGCTACTAATTGTAGGTTTCTCATTATGGTTTTTTTTTTTTTTACAGGTTTCTTAGTAGAAATAATCTCAATGGGTCGATTCCTGTATGGGTCACAGAATTGAAGGAATCATATGTGTATGTATTCTTTCCCTGAAGTCAAATTCTTCTCTTTTCTAAACACGAAAGGGTCCAAATTATTTTACACAGAGTACTAAAAAAGAAAAAAGAAAGAAGTTTGTAAGTTATTGTCATACTTGTCTATTAATTTTCACCTAATAGTCACGTTAAATATACATACTATCATTCTCACACGATAGCAAAATATTTTTTTAGTCGACCAACGAAGTCATGGAGACCTTAGGCTCTGGTCGATCACCAGATACATGGAATAATATTTTTATTTGTTACTCATCTTTAAGCTATTAAGTGTAAAGTTCTCTTCACTGTCAAATTCAAGACTCGAATTCTGTACCTAATAATTGACGATAGAAAGGGTGTGAGGTGGAATGGGAGGGTTAAAAAAATTAAAAAAAAACCTATTAGATGTAGAGGAATATATTTAATTTTCTTCATGGAGCTAAAAAATTAATTGCAACATTAAACCTAAAGCACCAAGTATCTTGAAAAGATCCCTCATATTTATTGGTTGTGTAATTTAGTATCTCTATTATCTTTTGCTAGTCTTATTTGCACGCAAGAAAGTGACAAAAAAAATTTTTTTTTTCTCGTGTGTTTATTAAAGTTTCACACCTTTGTAGGATCACAAATAGTACAGCAATTGTTTAACGTGTTCTTACAGTGATCATCCAACTTTTGCAGGGATATTTCTGAAAATTCTTTTACAAACGTGAGCATCCCCAAGGGTGCCATTTCTCCAAAAAAGTGAGAGAAACTAATTAATATGAATTTTCTTTTCCACTTATCAACACTTCCATGTGATGCAATGAGGAGTACTATTTGCATAGAATGGCTTACATGTTTATGTAAGGTTCTTTGCTTATTTATTTAATTGGTTTTCTTTTTTATCTTTCCGATTTTCAGGAACTTTTTTGCTTGCTGTTCTGAGATAAACAATGAGTAAATTTTTTGCCTCCTCATTTCATTTCTTTTTGGCTAAATAAGGTAAGGCCGACGATGCTAAACTTTCATGTCTCTTCCTATACAGGGATATGAAATGGCTAGATGCTAATTACTCATGTGCCAGTAACTCACTCAAATGTAAGTTTATGTAACTTTCGGTTAATTTTTGATGGTATAATCTAAAATACAAGCAGAAATATGCCATTGCAAATTTAACACTTACAGTAATGACTCTTGCAAGAAGCTAAGTACGTAGTGCAACTAATGGAAACTCTAAATTTGAAAAGACAATGCATTGCTTTTTTTAATACTGACATTGTAGACGATTTCTTAAACTTTGTCCCATACATAAGCGCTCGTTCATGATTTTTGTTTGTTGATATAAACATTTCATGAGATAAATTTACAAGTGTTTGACCTTAAATGGTCTAACATCTAAAATGAATTTTTTTTTTTTTAAAGTAAGGAGGGATAGGATTTATAAGGCAAGGAGGGGGAAGGGGGATTTGATCATAAACAAGCTGAAACAACAATGTCTCCTATGGTTAACATCAATACTTGAGCTTGCCAAGTTCACATAAAATTTCTTGTTCTTTCGAAGAAAATTGATTAAAATGTCAGAGTTAATTATCATATATATATACTACAGATGAACATTTGTACATCAACTGTGGTGGAGATGCAACAACAATAAATGGAAGAAACTATGAAGCTGATCTTGAACCAAATGGGGGATCAACTTTCTACCTAAGTCGTAATCAAGCTTGGGGTTTCAGTAGTATGGGAGTCTTCGAAGATGCAAAAGACCAGCAGTACATACTCAAGAAAACATGCAATACTTCTGTAGTCGAGGATACAACTCTATACATGAATGCGCGTGTTTCTCCAATGTCCTTGAAATACTATGCATTTTGTTTAAAAAACAATCCTTACAAGGTGAGGCTTGACTTTGCTGAAATAGGCTGGAATACAACTAGAGATCCTAGTCTGAAGAGAAATAGAGTTTTTGATATAGAAATCCAGGTATATAGTGTATTCATACTTTAGAAGAGGTATAAATCTACGAACGGAGATTTTAGTAACAAACATTAATTGCACTGCAGGGCGAGAAAAAAGCAACAGATTTCAATATTGAAATAGCTGCAGGGGGTGTGGATCGGAACGTGACCTTGGAATATAACAACATTCTTGTTCATGACAATCGGTTGGTGATTCATTTGTATTGGTCTGGAAAAGGTTCAACATGGGTGCGAACAGTTTACTACGGTCCCCTAATATCAGCTATTTCTGTATCTCCTGGTACATGTTAATTCCTTCTTCTGTTTTACATTTAACTATTTCTGTTTCAAAGGATGTGCAATTTCTTACTTTTCTGAATTCTGATTGATCTTTTGGTGCTATTTACTGGAATAGTTCTTAAAAAGCATCAGAAACTTTCTTCTGCGACTATTGTTGGAATTGTGGGATCTTCGGTACTTGCTGTTTTATTGATCTTAGCTCTCTTCTGGAAGTTGGGCTGGCTTGGTGGAAAGACTACTAAAAATGGAGGTAGGTAAAAGTGTCGTTTTGCCACAGAGCTGAAATTTAATAGAATAGACTGTAATTTGTGGGGATATCTTTTGGGCTGAAAATCAATATTCTTTTTTTTTATGATCGAGCAAGATCAAAAAAGTATCGAGCTATTCCCTGGAGGGGTTTTCAACTTCCAACAAATAAAAGCAGCTACTAAGAATTTTGATCCTAAGAACAAGATAGGTGAAGGAGGATTTGGAGAGGTCTACAAGGTATGATACATTAATCAAAATCATCAAAACAGTCAGCTTCCCATTCCACTTTATCATTGATATTTCACTCTTTTTTTGTGGTCTGTTTATTCAGGGTGTGCTAGAAAGTGGGACTAGAGTAGCTGTAAAAAGGCTTTCAAAAAAAGCCAAACAAGGAGCTGAGGAATTTATAAATGAAATTGGTACTAATTTTGCTTTGCAACACCCGAATCTGGTGAGGGTATTGGGATCTTGTGCTGAACAAAGTCAACTTCTAATTGTCTATGAGTACATGGAAAATAATTCTCTTGAACAGGCATTGTTTGGTAAATAAGACAGTTTGTTTCTATACCAGCACCTTTAGATCCAAGACAAATTGCAGCGAATGAAGTCTCCTAACTTATTGGTTGGAATCTGCAGGTTCAGCAGAAGTCAAATCCAGACTAAACTGGCTGATAAGAGTTAAAATTTGCCATGATGTTGCAAAGGGGTTGGCTTATATTCATGAAGAATCAAGACTTAAAATTGTTCATAGAGACATAAAACCAACTAACATACTTCTTGACAAGGATTTTACTGCCAAGATATCAGACTTTGGATTTGCCAAACACAGTGAAGACGAGAATCCTCACATTACCACACGGATAGCAGGATCAAGGTAATCCAATAATTTCTCCAGTAAAATCTGAGATAAGAAATTATTTCTCCATTTTTTTAAATTCTTGTTATGATCTTCTCTGAACATGGAAGACACCTGCAGGGGATACATGTCACCTGAGTATTTGCAAGGCTTCTTGACTCCTAAAGCAGATGTCTACAGCTTTGGTCTTGTCACACTAGAAATTGTTAGCGGGAAGCAAATTTCAACTTTTAGGGCAAAGGATCAGAATATTTACCTTTTGGATATAGTAAGGCAGCTCAAAATACAAATTATCTTGGACAGATGCAGATAAATTGATTTTTCTCCACATATATTGATACAAATTGCTGGGACTTATCTACACTTTTCAGGCTTATGATTACCAGCAGCAGGGCAATCTTATAGCTCTTGTCGATCCAAGCCTAGGATCTGATTATACCCACAAGGAAGCGCTCAATTTGTTGGATTTAGCCATGAAGTGCGTGAACCCAAGTCCCAAGCTTAGGCCTCCAATGTCTGAAGTTGTGAAAATTCTTGAAGGAATTGTAAAAGATGTACAAGCAAAATGGAAATCTAAGACTTCCTCTATTGGAAAACCTTCTTCAGGTGATGATTCGCAAGTGCCCAGTCTCTTCTCTCGTTCTACTCAATCAGCTGGGAGTACATCCCAGGAAGGTGCTTCGGATACAATCATTTGTCCTTCAACCAGCAAAGAAATTGATGACTCCAGCGACTTGGACGATTAGCATGCCAAGGCTGCAAATTAACCACGAATTGCTACTACGGTAGTCTTTCCTTGAGCTTTGATAATTCTAATTTTTGTGAATGACAGCATTCATCATGCATTATTGCATTGACGTGTTTCTGCAGTTAGCAGATTATAGAATTCAAGCTACTACACAAGCCTTCACAAAAGATATTGGCTCATTTAATTAATGTATGGTATATCAGTACAGTCAATATTTATGTAGATTTATTTTTATTGGGACTAATTTTCAGTTTTGCAAATAGTTATGGTAAATGAAGAACATTGCTACTAGAAACTAGATCCTTTTGCATAGGACTTCACTCAAAGCTACTCAGAAAGTTACACAAATTTGAGCATTCAAAACAATTCATCTTGATGGGAAAAAATGTTCAGCTGCATTTTCTAATACTCAAAACGTACGATTATTAAACGTCTTTATTTTTCCTTTTCCTTCCATCTTTAAGAATAATAAACATAGGCCAGATTTACTTTTATTCATCTTGGAGAAACAGGATATGTGGCTTCATGTTGAGTTGACATACGTGGCTAACTAAAAGAATTTGAAGCTGGATTGTTTTTGCCAGTTGAAGGGGATTTCTGCATAGGAATGATACACCACCTAAAATCTTACGGATTCGAATTACCTATAATTTCTGAACATCATACTGAAAAGTAATTAAAGTTGACAGCATCGGAATCCCAGGAAGATGTTGACAGGGCATCACTTTCTCTAGTATGAATAATCAGATGATTTGACAGTTATTGAGCTTACTAAAGCTGAATTGGGATTCCTTTCTTTTGCATTAGCTGTAATGGAAAATGACTCAGGTTCTAATCACTCATCATACTTGTCGCTCAACCTTATCCTATCCTTAGTGGTAAGCCTTTTCTTACATGCCATCCGGAGAATACATGCTTGGGTATATGATACTTTCCTTGTTTCTGCCAGAATACAATTTTATTAATTAAGATTGGCTCTATTTTGTATGAACGAAATCAATCCAATACAGATTTATATGTCTTATTTTGTAAGAGAAACAAAAAAAAAATTACATTGTAATGATGATTTTATGATCATTAATCCTTCTACCATAGTTATATTATTGGTACTAGTTTACTATTTATACAGACATTCGTGTCTATACCTTATAATGAGACATACCTATATATATGCACTCGTCCATGACTTTTTGTGAATAGACAACATAATTATCCATAACAAATATGTATAATTGCAAGTCTTAGCTTAAAAAATTCTCCAACTATCATTTTAAAAGAGTGTGTGTTATTTATGTCTCTACCATTATTATTATTTTTTTTTGTTTTACAATTATTTACAGGATAAAATGAAGAGTTACAAGAGCACCACCGATTTGACAAAAATAACTACTGACATAGGGCAAATCCCTATTGGTTTGAAATTCTTCAACAACACATGTTTGATTACCATCAACAATCAAATCTTTTTTTTTTTTTGAGTGTAAGTATCTTTTTTATTAAAAATTTTGACAGAGTTTCCCCTTATAAATGGACAAAAACTCCCTGCCAACAAACCCAATCTCAAGAAAATATCCACATGATAGTTATTTAATACAAATTTTTAGCTAAGCTCTAGTAATTTTCTACGGAAATTAGGGAAACCTAAAGTGTCCATGAAATGGCATGAAAAGTTTGGTGACCTTGTTTAAAGTGGTTAGATGATATTTAAAAGTGGATAATATCATGGTAGATTTTGTTGGATAACTAGCAGATTTTGTTTACTCTAAATAGTAAGATTTGATTGGAGCAAGAGGATGTTTTTGTCAACAATCAAATCTTACTATTTAGAGTAAACAAAATCTGCTAGTTATCCAACAAAATTTACCATGATATTATCCACTTCTAAATATCATCAAACCACTTTAAACAAGCTCACCAAACTTTTCACGCCATTTCAGGGTGGCCAGGACCAGATATTTCCTAACCAAATTTGCCAAGTACTGATTATTGCATACTTTAGAGCCCGACAGAAAAAACACTTTCCACTTACAAATTCATGCTAGCAAATATGTTGGAATTTAGAGTATAAACTACTAAACAGCACTTATAAGCTTGGAACTACTCCTAACAACTAACCAACAACTTAACTTATTAACCAAATTGACCTATCTTAAAGATATAAATTTGCAGCAGAAGTTGCATTATTCCAACATAATATATATGAGCAAAACGATAGACAAAAGAAATTTGCTTTCAGAAATACGAAGAGAACATGGACAAACTGGTTTTAGCAGCTTTTTTTTTTTTATTGCTGTTTCTAATTCTTGATTGCAAAATAAACTTGGAACAAGTGATCGGCATCAATGGAACTGACTGCTGCCGTTTATCGTCCTCTACAGCCCACCCCGGCCCCTAGAAAATTAACCTTCTATCTCATCCCCCAGACAATGTCCCTTCGTTTTAAAGTTTGATTGCTCAAGAAAAATAATCTCCCAACTCACACACTTATATAGTATACAAAAAAGAAAACAAAAAGGAAAAAATGCAGAAAAACTTTCATCGGCACTAATATAGTATAGAAATGAGATATTCATTTTCCAAAATCTTTCGTTAGATTCATTCATGTGTAATAAGAAGTTTTCTCCCAACCAGTTCCCTTCCATTTTAAAATTTGATTGCTGAAGAAAATTAAGGAAATTTGCTCCAATAAAATGTTTCTAATTTAAAATCTCAATGTCAGTATTGCATAAGTTGCCTCAACGAAATTTAAAAAAGGGTAAAAAAAATAAAAAAGTCTCCTGTGATAAATTTAATATACAGAAAAGCTCATATTATTTCAAAACGTACAAAACGACACTTTATGCTTTGAAATAAAATGTAAAAATGACGGAATCCATTAAAATTAATGGAATCTTAAAAACAAATTTTTTATGTTTTGAAACCACGAGTGATTTTTCTGTATATTAGATTTACCATATGGAGCTTTTTAGTTTTTTACCCTTTAAAAAAATATTCATGTTCGTAAGAATTAACATCTTTAGTAAGGAAAGTGTTGAAGAAAAAAAATCTGAAAACCTTCCAACTCTCACACTTAATGTCCTATTGGATAGATAGTTTCGTATCATTGCCTATTCTCATTTAGCATATAACATCTACTACTACTTCCTGTGTTGTGGTGCTTTCAAACTATAAATGGCACACAACTGAGGTTTTCAAATAAGTGGGTACATTCACTTGTAAAAATAGGAAATTTGTTTGCGATTATTGTAAGATATGTTAAGACAAAAATTTAGAACGTACCACAGATTTTGGATGCCTTGGTTTTGCTCTTTCTGAGTAGGTACATTTCCTTTTCTGAGTACATCTGGCCTATCTTTTCTTTGAATGCTTTGGTTTGCTCTTTCTTTTGTTTTGGAAAGTTTACATTTGCTCTGGGAGATTCCGATAAATTTTTTCAAACTATGTTCTTTGTTTTTTTCTAATCTGTGAGTTATGTGAAAATGCTTAGTAATTAATGCTTACTGGATCACTTCTAAATTACAAGAACAATCATTTTTTAGTCTATCTTCACAAAAATAACACAGCAAGTCATTTGCACTCACAAATTGTTGAGATGCCTTGAATTAGATCTTCAACCCCCGCTGAGCTGTACGGGGGTCTCGCTGCCCGGTCAGCGAGTCGAGGGTCCAGGGGGCGACGCGCCCCGGCTGGGGGGCCCGGGGGGCAGCGTTGCCCCCGGTGGGGGTTCGGGGGCAACGCCCCCGAAGCTTACGGTATATATCAGTTACCGTGTCTGTTTTATTTCGGGTCTTGTTTTGGGCCTATTTTGGGTCCAGTCTGTTTGGTTGTATATATATACACCTTATATTAGTTTGTAAACTATTCCGATTACAACCCTAATAAAATCTGATTTCCCCCAAGTTGTTCTTGTCCATTCTTGTTTGTTCTTCTGTTCCGCTGCATCTGTTATAACAAACTGGTATCAGAGCTCTAGGTTTGTCCTAGGGCTCGGATCACGCAACAACATGTCTGCTTTGAACATCAAGATCGACAAGTTCACCGGGAGAAATAGTTTCAGTTTATGGCAGATCAAGATGCGGGCTCTGTTAAAGCAGCAGGGCCTGTGGAGTCCGCTGACGAAAAAGAAATCGGATTCCGTTGATGAAGAGTCGATGAGTCTGGAGGAAAAGGCTCACTCGACAATCATGCTGTGTCTGGCAGATGATGTCATCACTGAGGTCGCCGGTGAAGAAACTGCTGCGGGTTTGTGGGTTAAACTTGAAAGTCTCTATATGACGAAGTCTTTAACCAACAAGTTGCTCCTAAAGCAACGTCTGTTCGGTCTGCGTATGCAGGAAGGTACTCCTCTTCGAGAACATTTAGATCAATTAAATACAATTCTTCTTGAATTGCGTAATATTGATGTTAAAATTGAGGATGAGGATGCCGCGTTGATTTTGTTAGTGTCTCTACCGTTATCGTATGAGAATTTTGTTCAGTCTTTTATTGGCGGTAAAGATACAGTAACTTTAGAAGAAGTAAGATCAGCACTGCATAGTAGAGAATTGCGCCATAAGGCGGCTGGTAATGTTACAGATAATCAGGCTGCTGGATTAGTTGTCAGTAGTGATAAAGGAAAATTGGGGAAAAAGAAGTCCGGAAATAAGAAGCAGTTCTCTAAAGGTCCCAAGCCGGATGATGTCTGTAACTATTGCAAGGAAAAGGGTCATTGGAAATCTGATTGTCCCAAGAAGAAGAAACAGCAGGAAAAACAACACGCTTCAGCTTCAGTTGCAGAAAAGGAAGCGGAAAATTCAGAAGAAGACCTGGCCCTAATTGCAAACGAACCAACACATCACTCTGATGTGTGGGTTCTTGATTCTGGGGCGTCCTATCACATATGTCCAAATAGGGAATGGTTTACAACATATGAGCAGATAGATGGCGGAAATGTCGTGATGGCTAATAGCGCTGTCTGCAAGGCTGTTGGAATCGGTTCGATTAAGATCAGGACACATACTGAAAAAATTGCCACACTGAACGAAGTCAGGCACGTCCCCAAAATGACGAAGAATCTGATATCACTTAGTACTCTTGACAGTAAGGGTTTCAGGTTCAGCGGAGGAAGTGGAGAGTTGTGCATCAGTAAAGGTTCATTAGTGGTTCTCAAAGGAGTTAAGCATGGCACCCTGTACATCTTACAAGGTTCTACGCTAACAGGTTCTGCTGCTGCTGCTGTTGCATCTTCTGAAAATCGCAGGTCTG